CGATCGTCAGAAGAGGTTCGTGGAGATGGTTAACGCTACCGCCTACTGATATATATATCGTCGTTACCGATCGTCAGAAGAGGTTCGTGGAGATGGTTAACGCTACCGCCTACTGATATATATATCGTCGTTACGTATATATATACGTAGTTGAGTTGGAGGAGAAATACGATCGACGCGCATATATTAATATATATCTAGATATATATATGCATGTATTTTAGTATAGTTTTTTTTAGATGCGGACGCCGCTTAATTATCTGGGGTTTGGGTTTTTTTTTACCGTTTGTTGTATTGTCGGAGAAATTGAGAGGAGGAGATGTTAGAGGAACCCTTTTCGCAGGTAAACCACCGTCCCTTGCTCTCTCTATATATACATATCAAGCTTTTTTTTTTTTTTTTTTGATGTTTTTTTTTTTGGAAATTAATGGTCTAATTTTTCACGCGCGTTTCGCTCGAAACAAGTTACAGTCACCCATTCAATTGTCAAATGTTGTAGTTTAATTAAGAACATCATAGTTAAGAAAGTACTATGATGAACACTACAGTCTTTTACACTTTATTTCAAAATAAATCATCATCGTTCCCTATCGTATATGATTAGAGCAAGGAAGACAGTAAAACAAATATAATATCTAATTTTTGGTTAAGTTTGATGTCGCCGTTCATTAATCTGTACTCATCTTAGTTTGTCATGATGTAGGGTGCTATATATATCAGCTTGCCATTTACTTTTTAACTAGAAATTAACTGAAGGAAAAAAAAATTAAAGTATGTAATATTAAACATTTTCAACCGTTTATTTCTCGATCTAAAACTATTTGTATTTGAATTTCTCCTACTGCAGGCTTCGTTTTTTGTCTCAATGCTGGTGATATAATGGGTGAAAGATATCCAACTTGCTTCTTCGGCCGCAGTTCTCTTAGCTTAGCGTGTGCTGTAGCTTTTTTCCCCTCTCTCTGTGTGTTAATGTTACTAATCAACGGGATTATGATGTTAATGATGCATATAAACTACGAAAAATGATCGTGTTAGCTGTTGGGGTGAAGTGATTATTTTATGTTTTTCCTTTGATGACGACATACGAAAATATGTCACACCCTTCTCCCCCTTCTTTAGTTAGCTTATTTTTTGGATTTTTATTTCTCACACAAACAAAACATCACAAGGGGAATCCGCAACCCACGTTGGAATCAGATGAAGCTGGTTAATGACTCAGCGCCTAAATCATAGTAGAAAACAAAACAATCGTGTTGGGTCTGTTCAAAAATTGAAATATCTGACCTTTTTAAATTGGGAAACGTGCAGTGATCGAGATGGTCTCAACTTGTTCGATGCGTCCGAACATCCTAGATAATTATATATTCATGAATTGCATGCATGATGTAAAATATTGATTCTTATCTCCGTCGTTTTTGGTAATGTCTGATTGGTGTTCAGCTAATATCCACACTGATCCTCTTTGAATTCGTCGCCATGGAATATGTTACATTTTTATGTTCTAAACAATCTAATATATATTTTGTACATCACTAAACCGCAAGAACAACTTATACGAATCGCATTTTTGCAAACAAGGATGAATAGTTGACCGTTTTATTTGACCCGGTTGGTGCGGAGAGGCAGCGGTAACACTGCTAACATCCTCGGGTCCATGGTTGGATCCCGTATAGAGACAAAAAAAAAAAAAAAAAATTGTGATCCTTTTGATTTGATTAGAGACAAAAAAAAAAAAAAAAAATTGTGATCCTTTTGATTTGATTCTATAGCTCAGCTGATTAGGACTTGGATCTCACTCACGTATTAACAACTCATACTCCTATCTTATTTTCGACGTGAGCCCAAATCTTAACTTCACTCATAGGATTTTTTTTTTCTTTTTTTTTTAAATTGAGAATGTTTCACAAAACCCTAACATCTACTAGAAATTTAACAATTATTATGAACGACTCCAATAATCATCCTTTGCTTCAAACTTCCCAGAACAGGGACTAAAGAGCTCTGCTACAGGGAGGGGACAGGTGAGATGTTGTTTCTCTTCATTGCATAATGAGCTGGCATGACAAGCTCATTATGCAATAGGGAGGGGACACCTCACATGTCCCTTCAATTGGTCTCATATTTTGGATCATTAAGATATTTTTCCAATTATAAACTCCTACTATGACTAAGGACCACTCAATTTGAAATTAAAGAAAATAGCTTTCAACATTCATATCTTACACAATGTCTGAACAAATAGCTAGTAGGGATTCATTAGCACTGACTATTTATTGACTTCACAAGTCAGTCAAGTTTGCTCCTTTTTCCTTAAAGAAACCGGTCTCAATTATTTTAATAAGTAGATATTTACTCAAAAAAAATATTTTAGTAGATGGATAGACTTGAGATGGTCACTCGGTTTGAATGTTTCATACAGACATCTTGGAATTTGTTGTCATCGCCCCCATTTGGTCTAAATACGTTTGACCTAGCTTCAACTAGGCACAACCCCAAACCCAACATACAAACTAAGTTCCTATATTTGTTTTCATTAGGAATAAGAATAGAGGAATAAATTTGGTAAAGTCCCAAAATCACCAACCTCCTTGGAATGCTTTTTAATATTTAAGTTAAGGAAATAGTTTTTTTTTTATTATATAGGAGCTTCCGTTATACCAAACCTAGTTATAGGATTGGCTAGTTTCTCCTGTGATGGGTTAAAAATATAAAAATAAGTTGGACAGATCCTTGCTAACCAAAAGCTAACATGAAAGATGTACAACTTCTTGGATTAGCTTTATACAACACCAGACAGTTGAAGAGTGTTATACCCTCAAAATTACCAAGACCAATAAGAGCGGCCACACGATAACTAGCTAGCCGACTTTCAAAGCATCTGCAAGCACAACCCGGGAGATAAGCTAGCTGACTCGCCTCACGATGTAGATCCGAGATGAAAGGCACTTCCGACCCAGGTCTCACTGGATGTCCGACTCCAACACAAAAGACATTCTCCACTCAGACCCAACGCAAGTTGTCTGGGACAGTGGACTGTCTGACAGGCATCATCAAAAGTTACGCTGCATTTAATGAATGTATAGTTTGCGCTCGCACTTCGCCAACTAGTCGCCATCAAACAAAAGAAAGTCTTTATCATTCATTTAGAAAAAATATTACAGGACTTTTTTTCAAAAGACTCGATACAAAAATCACATCCCCCTCAAGGAGCAATATCTGCAGCATGAGCCGGAGGCGAGTCCAAGGGGACCACATTTGATGAAAGGGAGTCAGGCTTCTCAGATGAAGAAGATGGGCCGGCGTCATCATCAAGGCCCTTATCAGCATCTTCGCTAATAGCCTCCTCCCCATTCCCTTCATTGGCAACTTCTTCATCCTCCTGCATTATCCCTAACCTATCTTGCACCTCAAGCATCCTGAGGGCATCGAGGCAGTTGGCCACTTGGGAGGGATACTTAAAGTGGTCTTCTTTCAGCCGAATCTGAGGAAGAAGCTGATCCTTCGGATAATCAAACCCCACCTTATAGGCAAGGGCCACTTCAACTTCACCCAAGTAACTACCGCGATATCTTTCGATTATCGTGGTTTCAAAGGCTTTCGACTCAGATGGTCTATTCGAGTCCCAAGCTCTTGAACTTGGGCGTGGAGAGAGTTAGCTGTAGCTCAGCTTCAGTAGTTACGCGAGCAACTTCCTAGCAAAGGGTCCCTTGAAAAGCCACCTCCTCAATCAATTTGGACCATAGCTTTTTCGTCTCAGTCCGAGAAACACAAGCCCTCTCAAAGGCACCCTCCTCCTCCTCCTTCTCAGCCCAGACTTCTAACTCCAGATATACCATCCTCTCCTCGACAAGTCTCATGTCCCGATGAGCATGGTTGAGATCCTCCTTGAGGCTCCTCATTTTCTCTCGAGCCTGTTTCAGCTGACCCTCGCAACATCGAGCACAAGCTATGGCCGCATTCAACACCTCATCTTCAAGGTCCAACTCTCTCTCCTTCACAGCTCGGTCCCACTTGAACTCATCAAACTCGCTACCTTTAGTAGCAACCGCCAATTCGGTCACCTCACGAGCTTCACTCTGAGACTCCAACTCGGTCCGGAGCTTGAAGAACAGCTCCCGATAAATTTCAAGTTGTCGAAACGACTCAAACTCTAAGAGAGCCCCTCAGGTGAAATAGCTGTGGAGAGCACAATGAAGACCAACGTCGGGGATCTCACTTAACAAAGTCTCATCGGCCGGAAAAAGGTACTACTCCATAGCTTTATCCTGGTTGACTCAGGGTTCTAGGACTGACCCTCCAGCATCCATAGGATGGGATTTAGGACCCATCAAAACGGTACGCATCCCTTCCCAAGTTTGGGGGTGGAGGTGACTAATACGACAGGGAAAGGGCCACTTGTACCGACCCTCATGCACAGCGACTGAGAGACCCTTGGACGCCGGAGCGATCCAATCATAAGCCTCAGCAACTAGATCCTCGATAGCAGGGGCCCTACCAGGCCTTCTGGACGACCCAAGCGACTCTCCCAGTTCGATTAGTGCCTCCTCCCTCTCGGTCGGCATCTTTTCAAGAGCGACCACGGATTGAGCCTTACTCCTTGTGGACTCCGTAACTAAAATGTCTCTCTCTCTCTCTCTCTAGCTTCCTTCTCAGGAATCGGATGAGGAGAATTACCCTCCACCTCAATAAACTCAAGCGGAGCATAGGAAGATTTTAGGGCCTTAACCCCACTAGCTGAGCCAAGCGCAGCTTCGATCTGCCCGGGTTTAGCCTCAATTGCCTCGTCTCCACGAGCAAGGAGCTCCCACGTGCTGCTCTCAGCCCGGTGACGCTCCTTGGAAGCGGTCTTCTTCTTCCTCCTCTTGGACCCCTCGGCCTAAGTAGCAGATTTGCTCAAACCGAGTTTGAAAACTATATCAATGGCAGGTTGCTACCGCAAAACATGGAGGTCCTCTGCCTCCAGATTGTCGCAGAGTTGCTTTCGAAGCACGGGAGGAGAGCCAGGACGAGAGCTCTCCATTGGTTGCTCATCAATAGACAACATCGCTACGCAACCAAAGCCCACCTCAGAAGCAGGAACAGAAGATATGTTGGCAGCACAAAGGATGGCGTTGTCAAACAGGTTCTCCCTGCGTCATGACCTCTATAGGCCTGAATCCTCTCCAAGCTCTGCAACTCCTCAACCATAAGTGTCTCCAACCATAGGCCCTCCTTAATCTCTAGCCATGTGGGACAAGCAAGGAGAGGATCAGCACCCATGATGAAGAAAAATTTCTCCCACCATCCTGCTCGTCTCAGGACATTTGACAAAAGGCGTAGTCATCCACCATCTGCACATAAAAATGCTCCTCCTTCTTGTCGGCCTTGACACAACAAATGGCCTAACATGCCCAATGTCTATCTGACGACTACTCAATGGCAGATGACGAGGAAGCCCACCAGAAAAGCAATAGAGTTCGGCGCCAATTGCGCTGGTGCAACTCCTAAAGCCCCGAAGACCTTCTGAAGCAACTGATGTAACGACAATCGGAGGACGTAGTCGACGGCGCCAAACCTCCACTGTGATGATAGATGGACTAATCTCTTCACGGAGCTGATAGTGCGTAAGCGTGGGGAATGTCATAATCTTGGGCATATTGCTCCAAACACCCTGTAAGCACCTTCGAGTGGTATGGACGCAACCTTGTTGCGAACCATAGAAGGATGAGCACTGGAAACCATCAAAGAAGGAGAAGAGGTGATCGAAGTACAGTGAAAATTCTAAAAAAGGTGTGCTAGCGATAGTGGAATAAAAGCTATAGGGTTTCTAGGGTTTTTGGCAAAGTAAGGAGGAGAAAAGAAGAAAGAAGAATAATATATATAAGCAAAGGGGGACAACGCGTAGCAAGAAACTTTTGGTTGGTACTGTTTACAGGAAATTTGCTAACGGTTTTCGAAAACTAAAGTGACGTCTTGTCAAACGAGGCGTCACTCCGTCAAAACCGCATGATCTCCGCTGACGTCGGAAATGTCAATCACAACTATGTTCTAGCAATGACGGACCATGTTCCAACATAAGGCGCTTTATTTTCTCTCAAATTTGGCTTCCCAACTCCGGGAGAAAAGGGGTCAAGGTTATACCCTAAAAATTACTAAGACCAATAAGAGCGGTCACATGATAACTAACTGGCTGACTCCCAAAGCATCCGCAAGCACAGCCCGGGTGATAAGCCAACTGACTCGCCTCGCGGTCCAGATCCGAGATAAAAGGCATTTTCGACCCAGGTCCCACTAGATATCTAACTCTGAGACGAAAGGTGTTCTTCATTTGGACACGACGTAAGGCGTCTTGAACAGTGGAACGGTCTGACAAGCGTCATCAAAAATCACGTTGCATTTAATGAATGTACAGTCTGCACCCGCACTTCGTCACCTAGTCTCCATCAAGCAATTAATGCGACATTAGTCATTATGACTTTTTGAGCTAGAACATTCAAAGCTCCTCAGACGTGTTGTTACTCTTAACAATCCCATCACTGTGCCAAAGCAACTTGGCCAATCACCTGTCGATACGTATAATTTTTAAATAGGGTCTAAACTAATACTACACTCGACTGAAATTACCTACTTGCCCCCGTAAACCGTCTATAAATAATGGTGATTTCCACCAAACCAAGGTACGCAATTTTACACAAAATGTCAACCAGACTATACTCTGTTTTTCTTTTCAGATGAACTAGAAACAACCACTAACTTGAGTGTCAGAGGGCACGCCGGAGGAGATAATCTCTGGCGCCTCTAACCTTTTGTTATTTGTGTAGTGATGTACAACTCAAAGATCCAAGACAAGAGAATCAACCATCAAAGACGATTACGGGACCCGAAAAACTAAGTTTAACCCTCCTAAATCACGTATCCACTTCGCGACGTAAACAAAGACTTAATGAAGTAGAACCAAACGAGAACAAGGAGAAAGAAATATAACCTTTCATTTTCACGCCTCATCAAAAATTGCTAAAAAGTAGGGAAATATCTCTCATTAACAAAATTCTAAGAAGTAATACCCTTTTGTCCGCGCGCGCCCCCTAGAAAACATAACGAAAAGCCTTGTTCTACAATCCTACGAAAATAAACCCAGTGTAAACGTGCACAGGTATGCGTAATATTGTATTTAACATTTCCTCGAACTCATGATGGATTAATTAACAAGCAAGGATTTAGTTAAGAAGCACTAAAAGTGAGAAATGATCCAGCTCTTGACGAAAATAACGGTCACTCGGTCTCTAGGAAAGAGCAATGTTGTGAACCAACCAGATGACGGCCAAATGCGCGTGTGCGTTTTGCGCCTTATTAGTAAATGGAAAATATTTGATCTACTTTGGAGAATATATATATATCGGCTAATTAACAAACTGACCGTGCACGCCCTTTTCCAAAGTCGTGAGCGCCTCGACGTGAAAGGAACCAAAACCAAAAAGCTCGGAGACTTTAGGCCACCACCGAAAGCTTGTTGTTGACAGTTTATCACCAGGGCGGGGCGGGGCCGACGATACCTCAGCAGACGAAGCCCTTAAAACCCTCTGCAGTAAAAGAAACAAGATAAAAAGAAAACAATCAAGTTAAAATAGAGCTCAAGGTCAATTTAATAAAAGAGAGAAATGGCCTCTTGTTGTGTTGACTTATCGACACTCTTGGTCTGGGAGGAGATCACCATCACCGCCTTGTTTCTCAACAGCTCAGGGTGCACATCAGCGTCGGTCTAGTTCTATGATATTTCCGGGGGTAAAATACAAAAAAAAAGAACATTTATATCCTATATTGCAGGGTTATCGACAACATTTATTCAACTCGACAAGACCCCTGTCAATATGAAATCCCACCGCTTGATTAGGTTTTGTTCAGATCCATCGTGTTATGTCAAGATGACGATGTTTTAAATCGCGACAAGAAAAACGAATCCATTGTTTATTTACATTCTGATTCGGTATTTTGTACTAAGTATATGTTTCCACAGATCTCCCAAAGATCAAACCTACGCTATGCATTACCTATTACTGGAAACAATCTAAATATCGGTAGGATATTATTCTATCACGCGACAAATATCATGAATCACTACCACCGATTCCGTTACTCGTAAGGTTCATAGGTTTATTGTGCTTCTGCTACGACATTGGACACACCCATGTCGAGTGCATACCGTGGATCTATGAGGCGGGGTTGGGCGCTAACGGATCGCATACTTTATCTACTGTTAAAAAACTGAAAATACTATGCAAAAAATAATTCAGAAGCTCTTTCACGAGTTCAATAAATATTAATGATGATTTCTTATAAATTTGAACAGTTTTTTTTTTACGATTTGTATTTTAAACAGGCAATTATGCACGGGAAACTGCCAATGTTGTTGGGGCCCATCAGTGTCTGTCTTGGCCTAGTAGCTAAGCCTTCACCATCAATTAACCCCACAAGCCCACGAGGGTCCTGGGGCCAAATGCAGACCCCTGGTCAGTTGAGAAGCCTTAGTGCTTTTATTGGGGGCAGAAGGAGCAGCCTCATCATTAAAAGACTCGAGGATTGCCCTATGCATAATTTGTTGATCAAAAAAGCACAGCGTGCTCACTTCCACTGATTTCAGCACTGGTAGCCAAATGGGACTTCCCTTTGTCATTTCATAGATTCGAAGTGTTTGGACATAAATCACATGGGAGGTGAAAGTCCCTAACACAAAGAGGAGAAAGATAAGCTCTGTAACTATTGAGGGTTAATTTATACTCTAACACGCCCCTAAACGACGCCTATATTATTCTGATATCATCTTAAAGTCTCATCAACATCAAAATTCCCCAAACTGTGATAACTGGTCATTCCTATTATATAAGCTAACAGTTCATCGTTTTCATCTAATCAAACCCATCAATTCCCTAACACAGATGAGTGACGTCAAAATATCCAACTAGGGGAAAGCGATACCGAAGAGTTGCTATCAGTAACAGCAACAAAGAGCGAGGGTCTACCTGGGATCAGCAATTTTCTGGAAGGCTCACTGCACTTTCAACAAGGTGCCCACTATCAGAGAATGTATCGGGACAAGAACTAAACGAGCCCACCGGTCCAGAGCATGCAACAGAACCAAACGACACCAACATCCTCTTGTTCCCCAGTGAGCCTTAGTATTTACCGGAACAGTAATTAACCCTGTCATAGATCAGGATAGATTAGGATTAGGATATCTTAAACAAATAAACAAATACAAATGAAACAGGATCATAGTCATCCAGCGTGTTACCTGTGCTTTTGGGATCAAACATGCACTTTTGACTGTAGGTCCATGTCCCCCGCATAATGGGCGATATTGAACGCATTGCTGATATAAGTCAATAGTTCTGCAACCATTATCTTCTCTGGCGAGCAGAAGAGAAGGGAGTGGGGACATCGAGCAGAAAAGGCGAATGGACCCAGAAGCGACAAGCGTGTGTGCGCACAATACTGTTAATCGACCCATCGTAAAATGCTTCAGACACAGAGTGACAATTTACGCCCCAAAAATCTTTTTAACATTGAAGATCTGTGAACTTTTTTACGGTCAGGGAATGCCCTTAGGCCTTCACTACAACATCGGCATATAATCTTTTCATGGGGTCTGGTTCATGTTATGCTCCTCCAAGAATTATTGTCATGATGGTTAGTTATGTAATAAAGGTTACATCAGTAATTAGGTATTAGGCAAAAATAACTAGGCCACGATTCATACATAGTTTTTTTTTTTTTTTTGTGGAGAAAGAGAGGAGATTATTGTTGTTATGGTAGTTATCAAAGGGATGGAAAACAAGGCAATCTGAAAGACAAAAAACCATAATAATAAATAAATAGATTCATTTACTGCTGATGATCAATAGCTTGCAATGAAGTGAGTAGCCAACAAATATTTCATTTTTACACGGACAGAAGTGATTAAGTTTGATCAATCTACAATTAAACCAGCCGGGTAGATTACACCTAGTTGTAATTTTTGGAGGTTAAGGGCTCCACTTAAATTATGAAGTTCTTTTCAGTTCTATTACAACTAAACCGAGATGAATGTCAAAAGTTGAATGTTCTTGCAGTTGATATCTTTGCCAAGAAAGGCTTAAGCTCATCCCACCTGAACATTTTAGGGCTTAATATGTGTGAAAGGGTGAATGGGTCTGTGTGCCTCCAAGTATTTATGTGTGCGTGTGATGTGTGTGAATGTGTGAATGCGGTCGAGTGCATGAATATATATACACGCGTGCATGTGTATTCGGGAGTGTATTTATCTGTGGTAGAGAGAAAGCGGGATGATTAGGACTAAATTTTCACAAGCGAAGCATGCCGTGCAAGTGACAATATGGCAATTATGTAATTTTCATACTTGAATCCTATGCCCAAGTAATAGTACGTCAGATCTTCAAATCTGTCATCCAACTGTAGAAGACTCAAAACTATTTTAATGATGAATCGTGATAATCATATTAGTATATAAGTCCTGGCGAAATTGAACACACTCCGAGTAAAGTTTACGATGAATATCGAGATAGAACAGACAGAAGCCTAAGAATAGTTAGAATCCTAGATCAATCCACCCTCCCTTTTTTTAATTCATTGATAACTGAGCAGAAGCATCAAGCACCTAAGTAAACGATTGAATCATGCCAATTTGTGAGCAAAGCAGGTTTGAGAAAGGGAGATGCTGTCTGGATTAGAAAAGAGGGAAAAAGTCATTTTGCTCAGGTTCTTACCCTTTACATCAACTGATCCCGTTCAAAGTAGATTAGGGTATCTCAGCACAAACTAACAGAACAAATGAAACAGAATCATGGTCATAGATCATCTTAACTGTGCTTTTAAGAACAAAAATGCGCCTTGACTGGACCCATAACCACTGAAGATTGATGATTTGAACAAATTGCTGATCTATGTCAATAGTTCTGCAATCATGTCTCTTCTCTGGCGAGCAGAAGTGAAGTAAGTGGGAAAATCAAAGCAGAAAAGGTGAATGGACCCAGAAGTGACCAGTGTGCGCACTTTAGCAGGTCATAGAATGGTAGTTCAGCTCTCCCACATGAAAGTGCTTCAGACAAAGATGACAATTTACATCCAAAAAATCTTTTGACATTGAAGATGTGTGAAATTTTTCAGTCAGGATATGCCCTTCATTAGAGCCCTATGGCAATATTATCTAGGGTTAATGTTGGATAGATCCCCCTAGCTCTACTGGTGTAGATAGACCCTATAAGTGAAATTTTTGGAATCTTTTACCCTCAGAGAAAGAGGAATTTATTTTTTGTGACAAATAGACCTCCTAAGGGTAAAAGAGTAAAAAAAAATTCACTTGGGGGTCTACCGCACTTGGGCAATAGTACTGGGAGTCTATCCGCACCAATAGAACTACAGGCGGTCTATCCACAATTAGGCGATAGTAAGGGGCCAATCCATAATTGGGTGATAGTAAAGGGGTCTATCCACATTTGACCCTATTATCAATGTTGAAGATCCATAGAACTCGTTCTTGCTTCCCATATAATAATCTTTCAAGCTTCTCATATACTAAGACTAACTTAACAGAGGAGATGACCCATAACAAAATGGAATGGAAAAATAGGATTTATGTAGCTGGCCCCAAACATTTGGGATAAAGGCTTAGTTGTTGTTGTTTTTGTTGTCCTTCAGGAGTTATTGCCAGGATCAGTAGTTTTGTAATCACATATTTCTAATGGATCAAGTAATGTTGCTGTTATAATAGTTATAAAAGTGAGAGAAACCAAGACAACCTGAAAGACACAAAGTATATTCATAAATAAATAGATTCATTTACTGATGGCGAAACAATATATTAGGTCGATGCAAGTAGCCAACAAATATTTCATTTTTACATGGACAGAAATGATTAGGTTTGATAAATCTACAAATAAACCAACTAGGTCTATTACACCTAGTTGGAAATCAGTGTTAAATGGCTCCACTTAAGTTATGGTGTTCATTTTTCAGCTTTATTGTAAGTAATTGTGAGGTTGCTACTGCTGACAGCCTGCATGATGGGGACTTAATTTTTGGGAGCACGATGCATCGTGCATAGGCACGAGCGACAAGACAATTGTGTAATTTTCATACTTGAATCCTAAGCACAAGCAGTAGTATGTCAAATCTTCAGATCTACCAGCATATCTTCAACTCTAGAAGATTCAAACTATATTTAACGAAGAATCACAATAATCTTATTACTATGGAAGTTCTGCATACTGACTGCCTTCGAAATAACTCCGATTAAATTACAAGGAGTACCAAGATAGAACAGGCAGAAGTAAAGAATTGTAAGTACCCCTTTCCATCCTCCTTTTCTCGTCAGATAACTGAATAACAAGCAGGTAAGAATCAGCTGGTTTTATTTGAAAGAGAGATGCTGTCTAGACGAAGAGAGGACAAAGCTGATACTCTAAAGTCTAAACTATACACATACAAATAGCAAAAATGGGTAGTACTCTCACCTAGAGTTAATAAAAGCTTATCAGCACGTTACAAAGGATAGTACTCTCACCTATAGCTAAACCGTGGTTCAGGGGTCAAATAAAGAATGTTACACCTACTTCTGACAAGTACCTCCTCCTCCTCTTACTTCTGCTACGTATTGAGCCATTAAGTGACCCTCAGTAACCTAAACTGGAAGGTTGCCAGCAGGGTCTAGAGATTGCAGGGGAACCTACCAAATCAGCGAAAAACCAGCAACATAGCAAAATGACCTCTCATATTGAAAGTTTTTTAAGATTAACAGTGTTACTCTAAACATCATATTGCAATCAATATATTACAATCGACTCAATTGAACAATGCACCATTACATTTGAAGAGTTGATACACTATCTATTGAACAAATTGAACAGGAGTGTCCAATCAGTCCAATTACACTACTTCCTCAGTAGCATAGACCAGAATCTAACATCATATTTTCATTATGCCAGCTATTTCTGATATGTGCAATGTATCTCTTTCCTACAGTAAATGACATCCCTAAAACAGAAAGGCAACAGACATACTCAATGCATAAGGCCCTGCATAGAGGCATCAACCTTTTTAGAAGACAATAAAGCAGGAAATTATTTTTATGAACGCCAGATCATTTTAAAAGAGATGTCAGACATCAGCTTGTGTAAGAAAACCAATTTAAAAGAGGGGGCACAGGATGATAAGAAAATAACTAGTAATATTAATAGCATGACATTCCTATGAATGACAGTCACTGAATCATATACAACAACCAGTTCATTGAAGTAAAACCTGACAAATAAAGAAAACATTACCCCTTTAATTCTCCGTTTTTTCCTCTTCGCCAATAGTGAGCTTCCCTTCTTTAAACTCACATGGTTGAATGGCAATTCCTAGCTGCCTCCTTAGTTTCTTCACAACAAAAGTCTCAGGTTCTTCACAGATTGTTACTACACTCCCCTTTCGGCCAAGCCTTCCTGTTCGACCAGCCCGATGAGCATAATGTATAGAGTCTGTAGGCAAGTCCAAGTTCACGACCAAATCACATTCAGGCACATCCAAACCCCTTGCAGACAACTCATTAGTCAGTAATACTCTTATTTCACCGTTCTTGAATTTCTTCAGAGTGGTCGATCTTGCAAGTTTTCCAAGATCACCATGCAACTCAGCAGCCTTCATCCCACGTGCTTCCAGTTTAAACACTGCATCCTTCAAGGGCTTGGTATTGTTCATAAAAGCAATCACCGCCTTTGCATCCAGTGCATGAACACATCTCCTCAAGGTGTCAATTTTATGCTGAAGTTTAGAAACACTATAGTAGTGTTTCAAAGCAGGTGGCAAGCTATCAATTGCTCCTTGTGTTACAGAGCTTGAGCTGGAGTTGGCATCAGAAGTAGACACTGAAGGGGCATTTGACGGAATAGACACAGAATCGAGAGGTTGAACACTCTTAGCTCTGACAATGAGAGGATTTGACCCCCAGCTCCTAGCTGCCCTTATAACTGAGAATGGCACAGTTGCAGAGACCAAGATTGTTTGGCGTTCAGTACGCCTAGTAAGTGGGCTTAGTACACCACTCGGTTTTGCACCAGACTTTCTTCCCACATGTTCGAGTATTCTATGCATGTCCTCTCGATAGTTAAAGGATAAAAGCTGGTCAACTTCATCTAACACTAAAAAACGACAGTTATGGGTATGGAGCTTCCCAGCTGCTGAAATCTCAGAAATACGGCCAGGGGTTCCAACAACAATGGCCGGCTTGTTCTTTTTGAGAGCCTCTTCTTGCCTCGATCTATTTGCACCCCCCACAAGCTGTTGAACAAGCTTCTTGTTTGCAGGACCTAACAATCTCTCTATTTCTCTAACTATTTGCATACCTAACTCCCTTGAAGGGGCAACAATGACAGCCTCTATGCCTGGTTTTTGTTCAGATCGGTCATCTTCTGTAGGATACTTAAAAGGTCCTATTTGGGACAGTATAGGGAGAAGATAAGCAAGAGTCTTTCCTGAACCAGTATAGGACTGAATGACAACATCATGCTTCTGCGAAATTGTAGGGATAGCAGCAGACTGTACATCAGTTGGAACAGTCAGACCTTCCTTCTCCAACCGATCAATCAACAAAGGTGAAAGCCCAAGATCAGAGAAGGATTTTGCTGCAAATGGGGCTCCCTCTATTCCTTGTACACTTTTCATAGTAGATTGCTTAGCCAAGCTGGTCCTGGCTGTTTTAACTTTACTTGGAGAGATTTTTTTAGCTGTACTGACATTTTCAATCTCTACAATCGTCCCTTTCTTTCCAGTCTCAACCTGGCATTTAAATCCAATACTTGAGAGAGAAAGAGAATCATCCTCCCCATCAGCTCGATTCCTGAACAAAGTAGTCTTATGAAACTGTGCTGTCCTTGGTGCAGATAATGTTCTCAAGCAAAGACAGTTTTTCAGAAAACAGGATGAGCGTGCAGATGCAAATGCAAGCACACTTCGGTGTGCGTGTCCCATTATTAATTCCATGGCTAGCGCAAGCCAAGTATTGAAGAAAAGAGAAGCTTGAAAAAATCTTCCTCAGCAGCAAGAAACGGACATCTCTAGCTCATGATGGAGCTCCACCTAGTAAGGGGGAAAAACAAATTGTTGTTCAACATGACTTCGTTGTAATATGAGTTTATGTGTATGTGTGTGTCCCTGTGCACAAGTGAAATAATTTACGGACATCAACTGAAGAAATTAATTTAATTTTATATAGTTATAATATATATTAAACGGGGAAGGTTATGGACCAGCATTATACAAGAGATTCATGTTACGTTAGAGATACTGTGGTTCTCCAAGCACTTCCTGATCAACTCATAAAATTACGATATTGTGACCATTACACAGCAGCCTTGTCACTTTTATATGGAACGTATATATCAAGCCTCAGCCTGTATCTAACAAATGCTATAGTTCTAATATTATAACGGCAACCTTTTAGTGCTCTCAGTTTGAAGGCCAATTTTTGATAAATTAAACATTAGATTTACACCTATATTAGTATTTATTCACTGACATTGGTCTATGTTAGTCATATAAAACAAGTAGTATATATATGTGTTGGTTTTAGCTAGATCAAATCAACATTATTTAAATTCAGATCACTGATGTAAATAGTGGCCGATAGCATCGTAGATAGCTATAGCGGAGCCTACTGCTACGATTTCATTGATTGCGGTGAACAATAGCGCTGTGAGCACTTTTTGCTAGCCAAAGCGCTCGAAAGAGTGAAATAGCGGTAAATAGTGCTCATTTATCTATGCTTGAAGACTTCGTTTTTATGTCAAATTTCAAATAGTTAATACAATTATGTTGTTGCTAAATGTTTTTCTATTGCAGAGAATGTTTCTATTAGAGAATTGAAAGTTGAAAGAATGGGACAGATAATGGTCCTCTGATCAACATGTACGCTTTTTCATTCTGTACAGTACTTTTGTTAATATTGTGTGATTGATACACGTCTATTTCATACTTAGGGTCTCTATAAATCATCAAATATGCATTTGTAGAATTTTTAAATTTTTCTTTAATTTTTTGTATTTTTTTTAATATTTATACATATTTAAATTGGACCACTATTTTAACTTTGTGCTTTTTGCAGCTATAACCCCAAATAGCCTTAGCGGTGTCTCACTGCTACGCAACGCTATCCGCTATTGCTAACCTTGATTCAATTCATTTAAAGATATTTATCAATATTGGTCAATACGTTAATATTTTGTTGGATAAGTACATATTAATCTTGGATGACACATATAACATAAATGTTCAAAATTGGATATTTGGTGAACATGGAACAGTGTTCAAACAATTTGGCGAACTTAGAGATTCTTGTTATTGTTTTACGCATTTCTTTATGCTAATTGGATTTCTAGCATCGCACATTTACCAAAATACTCCCCACTTAATCCCCAGTTTCTGCAAATCAACCACGTAATTATTCACAATTAATAGGAATCAAGATTTGAACCTTCTCATGGCCGAGGAGTCGCCGGACACAGTGGCGGAGCACGGACGCCGGCGAGGTCAGGAGGCGGCGAGACGAGCGGAGGAGAGAGGAAATGAGAGGAAAGTTTGGGGTTTTAAAACCCTATCTCGATTCTAAACCCTTGGCCTTTAGCACCGGTAACACTCAACGGACTCGGGTCGGGTCTTCGACTCTTAAATAGCCGCCCCAATTTGTTTAGCCTTGGTTGGGGCCTAATATGTAAAGCCCAGATTGTCCATAACATTTTCTACAAAAATATGCAACCTTCAATATTCTCTATTTCCAATTTTGCATGAACTTATCGGGAATTATTTTTAATTAAATTTATATGTTTAGAATATAAGTGCATATTAAAATTTAGGGTTTTTCCCCCTAGAAACAACCTTAATAATAGGGTGATTACGTGGAGACTACATTTTATTTCCAATTTGTACAAACCACCTTCAAAATAAGTATTGTTGCGATCAACCACCTCCTAATCAAATTTTCACTAAACAAACCAAAAATAAGCTTTAAAATTTCAAGTTCAAGATACTTGAATTGTATACTAACATGACTTAAACACTACAAAAATGAGTCATGTACATTTAATGCGAGTATTAAGGGTAATTTTGGGTTTTAAGTGTGGAATTTGACTGAGATATAGTTGATGCAACAAAAACCAACTATGTTTATATTGAAAATGAAATGTGATTTCCGTATAATTACCATATTTTTAAGGTGGCTCCTACGAAAAAAAACCCTAAAATCTAGGTTTGAGCAGTAGTGACTACACACCGGCTTATGTTTTATCTGTGTGGGTGTTATTTAAAGTCCCATGTGTTAATAGTTATTATGGTAGATAGGGTATGAGGATCTCAATGAAATCTATAATAAGTCCATAGGATAGCTTCTAAGCTAATTTTAGACTTGTCCAACCTACGACCAAGACTCGACGTTTTTCAGTTTTATTAGATCCTAAGCCCTAAACACATTAATTGATTCCAAATATCACCATGTTCACTTGTTCACGGAACTAGATTGTTAATGATAGGCTGATAATGACGTAACATCCCCATGACATAACATCCCAATGACCGAGTTTACATTCTCGACGGCGCAATGATTCTAGAGTTGATATGTTTTAGATGTCTGCATGGACCGTCTTTACTAGATACTTTGTGCTCTTTATAAATTATAAATGGATTATGGAACCTCTTATTGTTGGATTTAATCTAATAAATCTATTTGTGGGCACATATGATTAATCAATGTGTATTGCTATCTTTCAGGATAACCCACTAAAGTGATCAATTAAGTTGGGTTAATTTGGTATTTAAATAAGTCATGGGGTTATATGTGCAGATACCAGGTTGTAATTGTAATTTATTGAGGGGCTAAATTACAAAAGTACAACATCTATAAATAAGGGGTTATGGTCCCTAACCTAGGGTTACATTCTCTAATTCTCTACACCCCCATCTAGCTAGAGAAATTCGGTTTTAGAGAGAACCCTAAGGTTAGAAGATCCAACACCCAAAATCAAGATCAAGCAATGGATTCAGGTATAAGCTTCCGCTCTTTTAGATCCTTGTTAATCTCTTTGAATTAATTATGGCTATATGGTTTTAGATCTCAAGTTTATGATGTAGATCTATCAAGTGGTATCAGAGCCACCTTGATTAATTCTTAGGGATTTAAGTTTTATTGGGTTTTTTATCTTAAATCTCTGGTTAAAGATTCAATTTTTGGGTTCGGATGAACAGTAATGTTCTCGGATGAACAGTAACGAAATTTTTTTCCGGGTAAACAGTAAAGTATTTTTTCGGATGAACAGTAACTGAAAAATCGCCGTGAGCAGTAACTTTTGGGAATTTTTTGGCTTTTTCTTTGATTTTTCCTTCAATTTTTTCCAATTCTGGATCTGTTTTGAAAATAAAAATCAAAGGTTTTTTTTGGGTTTGTCGGTTTCAGTTTGAAACCCTAAGGGTTCATGGCGAAAATTAAGGAGGTGGTTACCTCAAACGAACCTCGCGTTCGTTCAATTTTAACCGAGCTTCGCGCTCAACGAACCTCGCGTTCGTTCTAAGGTGAACCTCGCGTTCAACTCAGGTGAGCGTCAAGCTCAATTTTAACGAACCTCGCGTTCGTTCTAAGGTGAACCTCGCGTTCAACTCAGGTGAGCGTCAAGCTCAAATTTTTAACGAACCTCGCGTTCGTTCTTCAGACGAACCTCGCGTTCGTACTTCAGACGAACCTCGCGTTCGTACTTCAGACGAGCCTCGCGTTCGTACTTCAGACGAACCTCGCGTTCGTACTTCAGACGAACCTCGCGTTCGTGCCTCAGTGCGTTCGAACTTCAGACGAACCTCGCGTCCGTACTTCAGTCGAGCCTCGCGTTCGAGCTTCAGACGAACCTCGCGTTCGTGCTTCAGTCGAGCCTCGCGTTCGAACTTCAGACGAACCTCGCGTTCGTACTTCAGACGAACCTCGCGTTCGTACTTCAGTTGAACCTCGTGTTCATTTTTTAACGAACCTCGCGTTCGTTCCCAAGTTGAACCTCGCGTTCTTTTATCAAACGAACCTCGCGTTCGTTCATTTTCAGACGAACCTCGCGTTCGTGCTTAAGTGAGTCTCGTACTCAATACAGTCGAACCTCGCGTTCGAAGTTAAGGGAACTTCGTGTTCATTATGGTTAAGCCTCGGCTTTTCATGGGTCCACTTTGGTATACTTAATTTATTCAATTAAGTTATGGGCCCTAATTAAGCTGTGAGACCCCAATTAAGTTTTTGGAAATTCAGTTGATTTAAATTTTTTAATTTAAATCTAATTCGGTTTTTAATCAATTATTTAATTCAAATATTATGACACTAAGGTATTAAGGTTGTCTCTCACTCCAATTGATTAATTGAAACAAGAAGTTGCCAAAGTAACCTCTCTTGTGTAGATTGTTCATGAGGAATGTGAGATGTTTGTGTGTATGCTTTCGTGTAAATATTTAATCGGCCCAAAGGAAGGTTAATATTTATTTAGACTGTATACACATCTGCGATGATAAGCGTGTGACAATTATAAGGTTTACATGTGAATAATGAATCGATCCAAAGATAGTTTCATTATTTGACATGAGTTATTGTCAATGTTTGATCATTGCAACAAGGTATCACTTACAAGTTAATATTACTGTCCAAAGACTTGATATTAATGTTGTGCCGGTATCTTGGATGGGGATTGTCATTATTTGAATTTTATTGATTATGGTTATTGATGTGAGCATTCTTTTGTTTTATTTCAGCTAATGCATCTGCTGCAACAATTTCTGCTAACATCAACTCAATTCCCATGCTAAATGGGACAAACTTCAAGGTTTGGAAAGAGAACATATTAATTGTTCTTGGCTGCATGGATCTTGACTATGCATTAAGAACTGAACAACCCCAACCTCTCAATGCGGATAGCACTCCTGATGCAAAGAAGGAGCATGAGAAGTGGGAGCGTTCAAATCGCATGAGTCTTATGATCATTAAGCGCGGCGTTCCGGAAGCCTTCAGGGGCATAGAATCCGAAGGGATTACTAAGGCTAAAGATTTCCTTGCCGAAATTGAGAAGCGTTTTGCGAAAAACGATAAGGTAGAAACAAGCACGCTTTTAGCTCGCTTGATTTCAATGAAGTATAAGGGCAAAGGAAATATCAGGGAGTACATTATGGAAATGTCTCATATTGCTTCAAAGCTTAAGGCACTTAAACTCGATCTTTGTGACGAGTTATTAGTGCATCTGGTTTTGTTGTCTCTTCCTGCACAGTTTAACCAATTTAAGGTCAGTTATAACTGTCAAAAGGAGAAATGGACTCTAAATGAGCTCATTTCATACTGTGTGCAAGAAGAAGACAGGTTGAAGCAAGATAAGACAGAAAGTGCTCATTTGGCCTATGCCTCTAAGGATAAGGGCAAGAAAAGGAAGAATGATAAGGAAGCTGCTAAGGGTCCAGTTGAGAAGAAACAACATAAGGATAATCAGGGTTGTTTCTTCTGTAAGAAGCCTGGACATGTAAAGAAGGACTGTACAAAATATCACGCCTGGCGTGATAATAAGGGTACGTTCCTTGCTTTGGTCTGTTCTGAGGTTAATTTAGCTTCAGTACCTAGAAACACTTGGTGGTTAGACTCTGGTGCTACTACTCACATAAGTGTTTCTATGCAGGGTTGCCTGAGCTACCGAAAGCCAAGTGATGTTGAAAGACACATCTTTGTGGGCGACGGACAATCGGTAGATGTGGAAGCAATTGGGCACTTTAGGTTGTTGTTAGGAACTGGTTATTATTTGGATTTAAAAGATACTTTTGTAGTACCGTCTTTTAGACGGAATTTGGTTTCTGTTTCTGTATTGGACAAATCAGGTTATTCTTGTTCATTTGGAAACAGTCAATTCAGTTTATCTTTTAATTCAAATGTTGTGGGAACCGGTTACTTGAGTATTTATGACAACCTATATTTGCTTGATACAATTGCTTCTTACAATGAATCCTTGCATGTGGAATCACGTGGTACTAAGCGTAAATTAAATAAGGAAAATTCGGCGACATTATGGCATAAGCGCTTAGGTCATATCTCAAAAGGTAGAATTGAGCGTCTTGTGTCTGATGGCATTTTGGATTCCCTTGATTTTTCGGACTTCGACGTATGTGTTGAATGTATCAAGGGAAAACAGACCAAAGTGAAAAGATTAGGTGCCAACAGATCTTCGGATGTCTTAGAATTGATACATACGGATATTTGTGGGCCATTCCCTACGGAATCCTGGAATGGTCAACAATATTTTATATCATTCATAGACGATTACTCACGTTATGGGCACCTATATCTTATTCATGAAAAATCTGAGTCTCTGGACATGTTCAAAGCCTATAAAGCTGAAGTTGAGAATCAACTCAACAGAAGAATTAAAACCGTCAGATCTGATCGTGGTGGTGAGTACTACGGTAGATATGATGGTTCAGGTGAACAACGTCCAGGACCATTTGCTAGATACCTAGAGGAATACGGTATCGTCCCACAGTACACCATGCCGGGTTCACCTAGCATGAATGGTGTAGCTGAAAGACGAAACAGGACTCTTAAGGATATGGTAAGAAGTATGAT